CCTTGGGTTCAAGTAACAAGCGTCTTCAGAGCATCAATCTCAATTCCAACATGTCGATCCCTGCCATCGCAGTTGTTAAGGCTAAGGTCGCCTGAACGAAATTTGCTGAACCATCGTTGACACTTACGAACGTTCAAAACATTTCCATAAACTTCTTTGATATTCTTTGTGGTTGCAGAGGCGTTGTTTTTCTTGTATTCAAACAGCATTACATACCGAATGTGTGTCTCGTCGTGTGCCATCACTATAAGGAATTAGAGTATACTAAACTTTAAACATTATATAAGATACACTAACGTAACGTTTAGACGGTTCGTTTAACTATTATACGTGATGTACGTTTTTGGAAGGTGATTAATGAAAGTGTTCCAAACCGCAACATTAATTTCTTGACGACCTAATACGTCAGCGAAATAATGATCAACTCACGAAGTTCAGAGAAGATTTTGCTAATAGTAAGTCAACATGATGAAGAGTCCAGGATTCCTATCTAGACCACTTCCAGGGTGTCACCTAGCATGGAGCTAGAAAATGTAGAGAATGCCCTCCAGTGATAAGACAGCAGGTGACAGCAGGATTCCTGTCTAGACCGCTTCCAGGGTGTCACCTAGCATGGAGCTAGAGGGGACAAAGATGGAATGACATTTTGTCCTTTATTGTCACCTGCTGTCTTATCATTGGAGGGCATTCTCTAGCTCCATGCTAGGTGACACCCTGGAAGTGGTCTAGACAGGAATCCTGCTGTCACCTGCTGTCTTATCACTGGAGGGCATTTTTTTGTTTCTGCAAGACGTGGGCGTTTCGGGAAGAATAAATACCACAGCCGTAGCAGTCAATATAGACCATGCAATATTTATTTGACTTTCTGCATTTTTGAAATCCTGACAACAGAAAAGAAGTCTGTTAGGACGATTGGTTTTATAAATTTGATTTCGTTGTATATTATCTTCAAATATAGAAACTAAAGTAATAGCACATCTGTAGCTATTAGTTTAAGGATTGGGTAGTTAAAGTGGCTTAATCTGAACTTTTTATCATGGCCTTAAGCGAAATAATGTATAAAAAAGTTAATAGGTATTATATTAACATGTGTTATAGGTAAAAACATAATAATTTGTGTAGTGCATATTGATGTATAAAAGATATTTTGATGCTAGAAATAAGCGACCCTATAACACCAAATTTGTTATTTTTCTTTAACTGGATACTCAATGTTTCGCTTTACAGCTTCTTCGAGAGTGTTCTCCTAAAACACAAACACGGTTTGTATTTTAGTGCATGGCTAGGTGGTTAGGGAGCTCGACTCGCAATCTGGGGGTCGCGGGTTCGAATCCCCATCACACCAAACATGCTCGCCCTTTCAGCCGTGGGGGCGTTATAATGTGACGGTCAATTCCACTATTCGTTGGTAAAAGAGTAGCTCAAGAGTTGGCGGTGGGTAGTGATGACTAACTGCCTTACCTCTAGTCTTACACTGCTAAATTAGGGACGGCTAGCGCAGATAGCCCTCGTGTAGCTTTGCGCGAAATTCAAAAGAAACAAACAAATGTATTTTAGTGGAACGCTCCTGAAGTAGCTGTAAAGCGAAACGTTGAGTGTCTAATTCAATAAAATTAAACTGGGTGTTATAAGGTCGTTAATTTCTAGGGAAGAATATCGATAACTGCTAATATGAAGTGTGCATACCTTACCATATTAAATTTAAACTCACAATTTAAATTTATTTAAAATTACTATTCTTAAATACACATTACATTCACTAAATCACTGATTAAATTTAATAAACAAAGTCTCATCACAATTCTAAATAATATAAAAGTAAATATTCCTTACTGTCTCTTAAATGTCCGTTCACCAGTTTTTATGGTGGTTTTTTTTCCGTATCTTCTGGTTTTTAAGTTCATCGGGAGGTAGCTGTGTTTTATATCTATAAAGATAAAATATATTGTGATATATATTTCTAGATAAGAAAAGCTGTGCCATAGACACATTTTACATATATACTACCGACTCGTGGAGGGATAAAATGAATGCTTGTATATTTTTAGATATATAGAAAATATGATAACAACACAATATCTTTGTGAAAAATATACGAAAAATCAAGACTTATTATACATTGTAATATCATCCTTGAAATGTTGCGTGAGAAGCTCAATAAAAATGGCTTATCAATTTGAAGTCGTAATGCTTTCGTGTCAGAATAAACATATAATAGGCATAAAGTTGATAGAAAGATATGAAATTTTACTGAATATCAAATGTTGTGGAGGTAATTATGTCAAAATCATCTGTAAAAATTACAGCAAGACTTGAGCGTGACGTCGAAATAAGCTTCTATTCCTTGAGAAATAATAGATTTTATCGTGGTAAACACATTTTTCATACAAGACTACTTTTTTTTTAAATTTCCTATTATAATTTGCATATATATCTTAAAATATCTATTTACATGGAATCTATTATGGAAAAATCAAGAAGTTGAAGACAGCCACTAACTTTAGTTATTAAGCTATTCATTCATTAACAAAATACTCTGAAATTTACTTTTCCAAGACATTTCAAGGCCTCCACATGGGCGAGAAATGTCATCCAACTCAAAACACAAGGAGGATAAAGTCCACAGTTGTAGAGCAACGTCCTCTTTATGCATGGAGCTTTTATAATCTGCGAGAGTTACCATAGTTTCCACTTCCCCCAAAAATAAACTAAAATTATAACCTTACAATTTGTCCGAACTTTTTTTGTTTTTTCACTTAAAAACTACTGTGTTCGCCACATGTGTAGATTTCTTCACGCTTATTGTATTCAGTGTGGAAAGAAACCACGTTCCTTGTCCGATACAAATAGTACTTTAGAACACAAACATGTGAAAGCTATTTTGCAAAGTTCTTACATATTTTTGGCTTCCTTTAGCTCGTAATATTTTAATACAGAACGTTCTAGATTGTATCCCAAAATGGTTAAAACTGATTTGGAAAAGGCTTAACAACCTTCTTCCTTATTGGTTGTAACGGATAGCCACAGAAATAAAATATATTTACAAATAAGCAATAAAAAAAGGAGATTAAATATTCTAAATGTTTCCCCCTACGGCCTCTCGGAGATTTCTGATAGTAATATGAAACAGTCATTCCTGTTGTTTCCTGAGAGCGGTTAGAAACATTTCATTTAGAGTGTCCAATTGGCAAGGCTGAATGCTAAAAGGACGAGAAATTCGACGACCACCATCTGTAATAAGTACAAATATCAAAGTTTGAAAACAAAGTAATTAACAAGCCTTCTCTATAATATAGTAATTAAGAAAATAAACTCTAAAGCGTTAGAAAATACCACTTATTATGGACGAATATTATTTTCCAGTTTTCTTTAATTAAAGACAAGGTAACCAATTTTATATGTCAATTACGTACATCTGCCGAGTTTTTGTGTTTGCATTTTAGCCATAACGCTATTGAAATTAATAAAAAGTAAGATAAAAATCAAATAAACTTAAACAAAATTCTCAGAACCTCAGGAGAAGAGTGTAGGGTAATTTTTTGATTAAGAACCAGCTTCAGACTGGTAATCACAAAACCCCTTTTGAAACTTCTATTGCAATTCATCTTTAGTACTTGACATTTACAAACATAAGCTGATGAGCCTGATATAAGTCGAAACTGCAGTTTTCAGCTGGTATTTGTTATTCATTATCAGCAAATATGCTTTATATTTTAACTGGTAATGGGTTAAATAAGAATTCAACTCCAAGCAAAACGTGTCAGGATGTTATGGAGTTTATTAATTATGAGTTCTTTAAAGTATCAGAGAGAAATATACGTTATTATTTCCAATTAATGAGGACTAATTTAGAAAACGTAAAGCCGTTAATGTTAACTAATATGAAATAGGTTAGAACTAAACATAAGAAAAAATTTAAACACATTTTGTCTAAGTTCAAAAATAAACGGAAACCTTACCATTTGATCGTCTCTTTGCTATAAGCTGCGGTTCCGACGACTCGATTAATGGCATGGAATTGCCACAATATAGACCTTTAAATCCTAAGAATGGAACTATTGTCCTAGCCAACAAAGATTCCAAACGAAGCTTGTTTTTATTTGGAGGAAAAACGTCGTTCACATTCTGAAGACATGTACAAGTTAAAAGCTTTTCCACCTTTCTGAATTTATACGATATACAAATTGCTGATTTGGCAGAAAATTAATTGAGTTTAGCTTCTTTTCATTATTACAGGAATACTAAAGCAAAATATGATTTCTTTTTCAATTTCTTTTTACATTCAAATTAGTAGAGTCAGTAATGGGGATAGTTATATGCAATAAAATACTCAAAACTGACTATATTTAATAATAAAAAATATTTATTTAACTATTGTTCTCACAAAATATGCAGAGCTAAATATATAAATATAGCTTTATCTCGTGTAATAAAAAACTATGTCGATCATAAAGACGAATGATAATAAACGTCAAATAAAAATCTCGCTTCCTATTGTTCTAATGTAAAAGCTTTGGACGAAAGCAAGTACTTTAATTAAGAAAAACTAGTCATTTGTTATACAAGGTGATCAAATTAGACATATAATCTTAAACTTGAGCTTAATTTTTCTAAAATGTAATTCAGTTAATTGTTATTCGGATGCATTTAATATTTTTTTATATAAAATGTTTTCAAGAAATTAATTAATAACGATGCATCACCACCTTTTTTTGCCAGAAATTAACAAAAACAAAACATAATCATATCATATCTAGTAGACATCATGCACAACCAAAATAAGAACTATGTTTAAGAAGTAGCTTCCCACAACGTTACAAATTGTTGGCATGATGTGGACACAAAATATGCTCAGTGAATGTCATGATGACATATTTGTGAAATATCTGACACAAACAATACTTTCGAATTTTATGAAACTTTATTGTTCCTCATTGTAAAAGCATTACAAGAAAGTGTTTAGTCATACTCACGTATAGTATAAGCAGCATGTGTTTAACACCAAGTGGCACTTCCGCTGCTTCAGAGGATAGAGCATCTGATGGAGAAATTACATATATGTTACTAAAAAGTAATTAAATATATATATTTTTAATTATGGAGTATATTAAATATAGGCACAATATTTATGACAAAATCACGCTAGACTGCACGTCCTTTTCCAACAATATACACCTTTAAATCCTAAGAATGGAACTACTGTCTTAATTAATAAGGATTCTAAACAAACCTTGTTTTTATTTGGAGGAAAAGCGTCGTTTACATTTTGAGGACACGTACAAGTTAAAACCTTACAACCTCTTTGAAGGAGAGCTATTGGTTTCATTACGTTGTCAGTTTTCAACTTTTAACACCTTACATTAATTTTTTTACACAACATAGGCGTTTGGTTGCTCAATGTAACTGACGAGTTCTGGTATTGAAAGAAAGGTCTTCTGAACAAAGACTTGCGGTAGACAAAAGATGAGCTCCAAATACAGTTTTCACACATCTACATAGGAGGGTAGTTTTTGGTGATGAACATTATATTATGTCCATTGATTACTTGGCCAGTTTACAATTCACTTTAAATGCACATTCTTTTCAACGAGAAGCAAACTAATAAATGTTGTTCTCGCCTTCATTTCGATTACCATCTAAACCTACGGGACTTAAAGTCTTATAATAAAAACAAACTGATAAATGTTGTTCTCGTCTACTTTTCAATTACCATTTAAACCTACGGTATTTAAAGTCCTATAATAAAAACAAATTGATAAATGTCGTTCTCGTTTACCTTTCAATTACTATCTAAACCTACGTGAAATAAGCGAAGGCCTTAGAAGCATTATTCACAAAATGTGCTATGAAAATATTTCGTAAATTTCGAGTTTTCTGTGCTAGTTGCTGCAACATATCTGGGGCTTCAAATACATAGAAATATCTCAGTTGTAAAAAAACAGCTAAAGATGTAAGTAATATTTTTCCATTTGTTTTAGCCCTTAATGGAAATACCTGATGTAGTATTTTTGATCTTGCTTATACGAGCTACATCTGTAAAAAATACTTTAATAATGCATTAGTACAGATTTAATGGAACCCTCGTTTATCAAGTTATTGACGTAAGTACCCCTGGTGACGAATTAATTTGTATTAGTGTGTATAACCCTGAAGTACACAAAATTTATATGTCTGGAAAAACTCACAAAAAATGCTCTTTCACTTTTTTTTTTCGTGTGATTGGATATCAACATATCGCATTAATCAGTGCGCAATGTGTGTTCCACTCATATCGAAATACTTCCTAAAACAGTTTTTAACGCCCGCTGGTAACAAGTAAATGAATTTCACGCACTAAAAGGAATCTAAATAATCGAGTTGATATTAGTGACACGTTATTAAATTAAATTAAATATTCTGTGTCCAAAAAAATGTTCAAAATATTTTCAAAACTTTTTTATGTCTTCTTGTGTCACATTAAGTGTATTTTCAATTTTGTATTTACTTTGTGTCAATACTAAGATACAAAAATCCCTGTAAGTCTTATATGTGCTAACTAAAGGAAGTAAAGGTTGTTAACTGTTTTTTCTTCTTCTTCTTTCCCTGCCTTCTATTAATTTTCATTTTTCTCATTATAATTACAAATCAGACATAGATACTGATTTTAAATCGTTACCTTAACGTTATACTCTGACCACATTCTGCTGATTTTGACTCAGATCTTCCTATAAAATTTTTGAAGCGTGTGAAAGAAAGATCTATATGTCAACTTGGATAATTCCTTTATCAATCAAGCTGAAAATATTATACGAGAAGAGAAATAAACACGGGAAACTCTACCCACGGTATCACGACTGATGTTGGTCAGGATAGACATCAAGCGATGAACGTGATGACAACAAAACCTAAAACAAACGCTTATCTGGTATGCTGGAAGCTGGGTAAGATTGTACATGTATATATACACAGGGAATTTTCTTGTACCTTATTATGGTTGCACCAAATGCAAATGCTTTTTTATCATCAAAAATTAGTTACAAGCAAGTCTAAGTTTAATCACATCTTATTTTATATTCATAATAAATTATGTATTGATTAGATCACTGTCTGTATTGAGAAACATTAGAACTGGTTGCAACATTTTATATTCCAATAACTAGGATTTCGTGACTGCTACAAATGCTTGTGTTTAAATCCATCGATAACAGTCTTCTATAATTACAACAGTCAACGTGTTACAAGAAATTATATCTGTTTTGGAATAAGCATAAAATTTTTATTCATAATGACAATTTATATGTAGCTGTTAGATCGCGATCTGTTGTTCCTTAAATCAGTTCCGCAAAATGAGATGCAAGCCACAAACCAGATCTCAAACCACCACTCGGAATTATTCTGGATATAATAGAAAATATTATATATATATATACATAAACGTACATATAACTTATTTTGGGCTTTATTCCGATAATTCTAAAATTGTTGCGTTTTAAAAAATCTAATGATAATTGGAACTTCACGATAATTCTACAGTTCTACAGAACACTGTTAAAGCTAATTGGACAGTAAATATCAATATAATTTACTCTGGGAATATTATCTAAATAACAGAAAAATAGATAGCACCACACGTAGTTTGTTGACAGTTTGTAGCATAGTTAATATTTATGAATTTGTGATAAGAAAGTTAACATGTTTAATTTGACCAAAGAACTGCACTCTTAAGTTGCATTGAATTTGTCGATACGCTTAATTCGTTAAAATACTATGTAGGTTATCTTATTAAGCTATGCATAAGACGTTTATTTTGTAATTTAACTATCATACGCCATGTATTTGTTATTATTCAGTTTTCTCAAACCATGTATAGTTCACGATTTAGAATAACCTTTATCTAATTTTTGATATGGTTTATAATGTCGTTTCTCCCCACAAAATGGCCAACTTTACCGTGAAAAATCGAGCAGCAGCGAAACTGAACACACGTATCCGTAGAAAAGACCAAAAATAAAACACATTTTGTTTTTATCTACGTGATATTGTGGTTTGTGTATTTTCTCCTGTCTTCTGTACTGGAATCAAATGCGAAGCTGCGAAAACCCTTTATTTTATGTTGTGTTTTTATAACTAATGGCAGGCATTAATACTAATACCCTAAAGCTTAAAATAATTTCGAGTATCATTGTTAATTTATTTTTTTACTTTATAAGTATTATTTTGCATTGTTTATTTAGTATCTGGACTTACGACTAACTAAAATCTTCTAATATGGCCAAACCACATGAGATATCACGGTCGAAAATATCATTAACAACGAGGTTCAAATGACGATTCAGTGCATTATAGTTAAAATAAGTTTTAAGTTTATTGTGTACTGATTTACGATATTACGTATTTTCTTGTCAGTTTCTTATATAAAAGTGTCTTTATTAATTTATAATCTATAAATTTAGCTTACATCTAATCAAATGATATCAATAGCTGTGTAATGCTTAGTCTGAAAATAACCGACATACACTCGAACAAACAAATAGCGAAATGTAGATCATTACAATAAGTCAAAACAGCGTTGGGAGTTTATTAGCATGTGCAGAAACGTTTGCTTGTTTTGTGGAATTTCGCGCAAAGCTACTTGGGTGCTATCTGCGCTACCTGTCCCTATATTTCGAAGTGATAGTGTAGAGAGAAAGCAGCTAGTGAAAATCAACCACCACCCACCCTATGGCTACTTTTGTTTAGTGGGATTGACCAAGTGAAAAGGTGAGCATGTTCTATGATGGAATTCGAACCTTCGACCCACATATTACGAATCGAGCGTCCTAACCACCAGGCCTCGCGCAAAAATGGCTAAGTGGTTGAAAATTCTGTTACACGAGCTCTTGACCTTAAAATTAAAGAAAATTCTATATTTTAAAAATAACTAAAATATGAATTAAAATGTTATTCTAGGGAAGTTAACAGGATTTTGTATTCCATTCAAAAGTATATATTGTTTATTAATGAAGAGTACCTAACAAACGTCAGTTACTTCCCTTTGGTAAAGCTGCTGAATTTCATGTTTATTACTGACTCAGAAACAACATATTTGAACTAAAAAGTCCCAAATCCATAATTTTTTTAATAATCATAAAATTATTCTCTTGACGTTTTTTTTTTACCAGTATCTGACAATAAAAGTTTTGTTTCGGATCATCCCCAATGGCTTAGACTATTGTCAGGAAGTATCGCACATTATTAATTTGTTCTGAGCTAGTCTGAAGCAAATAACCATGAATATAATTGAACCTAACTTATTCAAAGTGGCCTTTAACCTCTTTAAAAGTATTTAGGCATAGATATCAAATGAAATTACAATGTGAAGCGTTGTCGCAATTAATTCGTAGTTATGAAACAAACTTAACAACTCTTATTTCTTCCTTGTAATACTTCAACAGACGGATTAGCTTGTTGAAAACCCCCAGTGGTACAGCGGTATAGCTGCGGACTTATAATGCTCAAAACCTCGTTTCGATACCCGTGTAGCTTTGTGCTTAGCTACAAACAAAAGCTTGTTGAAAATTTTGGGAAAGTTTTTGCTATAGATTATCAAGTATTAGGTATTATTAGATTATCAAGTATTAGGTATTATTAGATTATCAAGTATTAGGTATTATTAGATTATCAAGTATTA